TTTTGACTCCATTCAAAAATATGAAGACTGAACGAAGTTATAGCCCTCCAAAGTGGAAATTTGCAAAACGGACATTATTTTTGCAACAACCTAATACTATATGCCTACTGTATAATGACCAAGTTGGAGGTCTGTAGGATTCTTTGTCGCAGAAATTCAATTTTCAGGTGACAAAATTTTTTTTTGATTTTGGCTTCAAACTTTACATGGAAGGCGATTTAGGCGGACCCCTAGCAATCATTTTGTAGAGCTTCATTTGCTCTGTCGCAAGATACCCTAAATATACTAGGAAGACGAAAACAATTTGAGTCATTCAAAAAAGGAGTTTACTTTTGGGACAACCTAATAGTTCTATTAAATGATTTTTGAACAGACCAAAAAGTTCTTAAGCAGGATGCTTCAACGCAAACCTTAGTGATCCTTGGAGCCTTTCCGCACCCTGTGAAAAACTTAAGGGAAAAGCACTTGCAGAAGTGCTGCATAAAATAGTAACGGTAAGCTAGTGATAAAAAACGGCAAGGTCTTCTCTGAAACGGAAAAAAAGAATTTAAATTTTGGGTCTGCCGGGGAAAACGTGTATCAAAAATGAATCAACCTAATTTTATATGTGCAAAAGAAAGAGAAAGATGTCGCACAAAAATTAGCATTTGTCGGAGGAAATCGAAAGCATTTTACAAAAAGGGCAGCTCATTTCGATCTCCTCAAGTTCGATGTTTTGATGATCCCTTCGAAAATCTCGAAAGGCGGCGGCAATCCCGCTTCAAGCCCATTTAGTACGCAGGATGTTCTTGTATTCTGCTCTATTTTCTTGTTATTCGTGTTTGTTTCACTCATAAGCGTGTTATAGGAAATTTCGTATCTTTTTGCGAAGGTCAACGGAGACTTCGTTTCCAAAAATTGCCAGAGAGGCATCTTGTGAAAGCTTCGCTCTTTTCACATTCGTATCCTGAATGGCGGGAACAGTTTCACTCTTCCACACAATATTCCAGAATGAACCACAAGGATACGAAAGAACCCTGTTTTTGCTGTTCTTCTCTTTTTGCGTTTTTTGATGCGAATTTTGTGAACCGCAGCGGATATGCTCAGGTGAGCGAAAAAGCAAGCTCGTCTTCAAAAGAAAAGCAGCAACACTTTACTTTTGAGGCTGTACAAATTTTGCAAATCACTCCACAATTTTTATCTGTCTTTGCAAAAAACTTTCATATGATAAGATACAAACATCACATAATGTCCAAGCGTATGCGCTACATCGCCCAAAGCCACGAAAGCAATAAATAAATTACAAGCGGTTCGTAACTCTCTGAAATATTGGCATAAGTGCGAATGAGCCCGAATAAGCTATTTTCTTAACCTTGCAGAAAAATCTCCAACCACACTGCGCGTTTGATTAAAACTTTGTTGTTTGTATCAATTCAATCTAACTGAAGAACTAAGCCTTTTACTGAGCATTCGAAATCTGAAAGAAAGCGACAAACCTGGATTTCATGTAACATAAACTATAGAGGAGTTTCCTAATGTGCTAATAATAGCAAGGATGGCGTAGCATATTTCATATTGCAGAGGAATGTGTGACTCCAAGAAGTCCATAAGCCTAAATTCTCAAGTACAGTAAGAAGCACAGAGAAAAATGATTTTGGGACAGGTTGGCCCCTCACAAGAATCTAGGATCATCCAAGCACTCATGTGCTTGTTCGCCCACGCTGAAAAGTTCTCGGAAAAAACCCAAAATGTTTTAAAATATGGGACCTTTTCTGGACGAAAAAATCACACATCTCGAGAAATGTTTATACCATTAACGTGCATTTGGAAGGAAATCTTAAAGCATTTGAACCGTATGTGCAGGGAGATTTTTTCTTCTGAGGAAAAATTTAAGAACTCAAGAAAAGTCGCGGCTTCAATATGGGCCAGCTGTGTTACTGCTTAGACTACCTCTACTAAGAATTTACTGAACTTTCTTGTCTGAAAGTGTGCACTAAGCAGAGTTTTTTTTGCACATTTGTAGAATTACCAAGTATTAAAGTGGTAGAAGCTCTATGTTTACTCAACAAAAAAAGATTTTGATTCCTGTTACATAGTGAAACTAACAATTTGTTGAGCAGACGAATACAAACAAATCACAACGGTGAGACCCGCTGATTATGTATCAGCTGGTCTTTATACCTTCCACTTACTTCAATGTTGTAATTTTCATCGCGCGTCCTACTTGGAAATACATAGCGAGACTGCGAAATACGTCATGGTAGTCTAGTACGAGATAGTTGGAGAGAGAGAGAATGTCAAAATGTACTAATCTCAGCAGCACCGCAAAAAATGATGGAAACCATAAAAATCCTCAGCTGCAAGGTTACGAGCCTCTTGAGCCGAAGTAGTATCTACCACGTGTGCGAAGAAGAAGAGAGCAACATTTCTCTACAACGCAATGATTGTAAAACGAAAGATCAGTGAATTTTATTGCGTTATAGCATTAGAAGAGCAAGGTTTTTGAAACTAAATGTCTTTTGTTAGATTAGAGAGTTACAGGTTTTGACGCCAGAGATTGTTGCAATGTTCATGCATGTTTATCAGGCTACAGCGACATTGTATAAAGAACTATATTTTCTGAACATTTTTATAATTGAGACTCATTTTCGAAATGTCTTTTAATGCCTCAGTTGGAGAGTACACGTACAAGCAAGCTGGAGGCTTGTTTTTGTAAGGAGAGTTCCTGGGTGTTTGGTATTTTTCAGTTTTTGGCTTCAAACTATCTAGATTACAAATGTTTTATACTTTCTAATTACTAGCGGCAACACGAATATATGCGTCAATTTGTTAAGAAAATAATAGCTTCAAGAAAATAATGGCGCTTCCCAAGCTATGGCCAGGGCTCGGCACGAGGTGGCTAGTTGAAAATGCAAAAAACGAAGTCCCCCTTGACTTCGCCACAAAAGTACGGCATCCCCCTTGACACGCTAACGAATAAATCAAACGTGAAAACAAAAAGAATGAAATAGAATGCAAGACCGACAATAAATAGGCAATAAGAGCTAGTGATTGTTTGTATTCTCCGGGTCGGCGGCATGCTGTGTCCGCCGCGCACAACCGCGAGCTTGGAGCAGCTTTGCCGCTGCCATCCAAATAATTTGGAGGGCTATAACTAGGCGGGGAGGAGAGGGTTTACGGAGGTACAAGAGCTGTTTTGTAGAATATTAGATGTAGATTACTTTTATGTAAAAAATTTGAAAAAAATTATGTGAAGTATGGGAATTATATGACTTTGTTTGCGCTAAGCCACCTCAGGTGGCTATCCAGGTGGCTTGAAAGCCACCTAACCCCGAAAAACGTTTGCCATGCCCTTAGTTCATATGATTTTTTCATAATTTTTCACACATAGTCCCAACTCCCCATTGTCCATCTACACACCTATTTTGATGCCATTTCATCTTCACTTCGCTGTAAACAAACCTTTGTTTATTTGCTGGCGGCATGCCGGCAGCGTGCCGGCAGCAGATCGAGAGACAGCGTTATGCTCTTCCGCAAAAACGATATCCCCTTTGCTTTTTCCCCCAAAACGATATCCAGCTTGCTTTGCAAGCCAACTGTGCCGAGCCCTGGCTATGGCGACCGGGCGATCGAGTGAATATTCGAATCTTTTTGGATTGCTTTTTTTTGTTTCCTAATGCTAGCTTTTCCATACGTTATGACTATGTTAAGTGCTACACTAAGATGATGCACTAGCGATTTGCTTTTGCTAATTCCAAAGTTGTTTTCTAAAAAAGACAAATATTCATTTATCCCGCTTTGTTCCAAGTAAAAGCAATGAGGATTTTCACGCGAGCGGCGATCTACAATCGAGTGTTTGGTGTAGAACACCTACTACCTTATTTGACAAGTGTCATTACAGAAATGTGCACACAAAAAGAAGAACAAAGTAATAAAGCATAGCCAACACTTCCAAACTTGTAGACCTGAGCATTTTTGTCGGCCAAAAATTTTAATGAAGTTTCAACCATTGTTATACATACAGGGTGTCTCAAAAAAATGTTAACATGTTTGATCGTTAACAACTCCCTTGCTTTCATGTCCTTCGCCGAGCTTTAGGTGCCATTCTGTAGAGGGAGGTTCAGCTTAGATCACCAGTATGGAGCGAAACGTCCATCTCTCTCCATTACTGTAGGATTACGGTAGGAACTTTGCCATGGATTTTAGGCCATTGGAGGCCATATTCTGCCCGGGAACAAAACCAAACAAGCCAGAGACGCTCATACAATGGTAATGAAAGCCGCTGATCTCGAATGTGAAATCTCCGCTTTACTGTGATGCTTCTTTCCTAGGTTTTCCCAGGTAAACCGCAATACCTGAATTTCCAGCTTCTGTCAGAAATGTGATTACACTAACAAAAAAAGCTAAAAACACTCGTCAAAAGTTGTGTAGTGGAATCAGCGTGAACGGAAACCCTAGTACACGATTTTTCAGATTTTTTGAAAAAAAATTTGTCAGATGGCTTTTCTCATAATGTTTCATATGCTGAAAGTTCTTACCGTAATCCTGCAGTAACGGAGAGCGATCGGTGATTTGTTCCATACTGAAAATCTAAGTTGAACCTCGCTCTACAGAATGATGCCTCGAATGGGCGAAAGACATGAAAGCAAGGAAGTTATTAACGATCAAAGAGTGTTAAAATTTTTCTGGGACACTTTGTATGTCGGAACGTCATGTTCAAAAACATCAAAAATCAAAAGCCAAAATTTTAACAGGCAAGAAAACTTCAAGTAACCAGTTCGCTTGGAGTGCAACTTGCTACTGAAATCTGTACTTTTCGAGCGTTTTTTTTGTTACAACCATACTGTTACTTGAATAAGCTTTATTAGAGCATTATTGAGGCATCAACAAAGCTGACATAGCAAGGAAGTTGTTTACCAAAGGCTACTCAATCTTTTTTGACTTTTACTACAGTAAAACATTTCGAAATTAATTTAGTCATTACATATATTACGGTAGTAATTGTTAACATAACAACTAACGCTATATCAATAAGGTAATATTGTATAAACGAGAGCTGCCTTCCGTATGGATCCAAGTTGGGTAAGCGACCGAACCTATAATTTTCAAGTTACACTAAGCCAGCAAATCGAACAAAACCTACTTTGCTGCAAATTCTGTGTGCCGCAAAAAAAGCTCCTTTGGGCTAATAGGCTGCTTGCGTAACATCTCAGCAAGACGTTTAGCGTTTTTTGAATAGCTAAAATGTATTTTTTAATAGAGTTGGGTCAAAGTTGTACACACTCTAGAAATGCGAGAAATCACCATAGAAAGTTATACCTCGTATCGCTAAGTATGATTCGAAGGCTTTCCCTCAACTTCTCTGGGGTCTCTAGATCGTATTTAGTCAGATCAATAGCACCTCCATGCTTAGCAAGCATCTTAGCATTCCGCGGTTGATCACCAAAAATTGGAATCTGGAAGTTTTGATGTGCTAACAACAAGTAAAGTTCTAATTAAAGGCTGCTGCATGACGAAGGCGGAGTGGCGTTATTAATTGAGCGAGCGCGAACGCAACGCGCGCGTATCCTCACCGTTGCAGATCCCGCACCTCATGCGCTCTGCGGCTAGTAAAGCCGCGTTCGCGCCCGAAGATATTGCTCCTTCGTCATGCAGCAGCTTATATGTCCCTAATAGTATGGTAAACTTACAAGGACGGCTGGTTTGCCCTGATGAGCTAATTCCGTTACGCTACCCAATCCTCCATGAGTAACAAAAGCGGTTAGACGTGGATCAGCTAAAAATTGGCATCAATAGCGGCAACTCAATTAAGATATTTTGAAGAAAAGGAGTGAAAAACACTTGAGAGCAGGAAAAAATTCACTGTGTAAGTTAATAGGTAGCAGCCGTACCTAGTAAAGCGTTTTGAGGAAGCCATGTGCTCAGATGAACGTTGGGAAGATGATCAGCAATTTTTGAGTCCTTTTCTTCGTATTTAAATATAAATGTTGTCTCCGGCATAGATTCAAAAACTTTTAAAAGTGATTCTCTGAAAGAAATAATGTATAGGGCTAAAACGCCAAGCAAAGTCTAGAGTATATCACATGATTCTAGGCACTACCTACTTGTAATCCTCAGGCATGTACATTGCTTTTGCCACAGATCCAAATGACACTAGAACTGTCGTATTACGTTCGTTCAAAACCGCATCCCATTCCTGCAGGTACGCAATTATTTCTACTGTTTATAACCCTACCAGACACTAACCGCTGGAAGCTTGTTCTTCTTCGAATCATTCGGCACAGTAATTCCACCAATAGGCACAGTTTTGTGAAGCATGGGACGAGGATAGTCAAGGTAGGGATTGGAGTTAGTGAACAGATACGAAGCATCGGCGAGGAGTTGCTGAAGTCGTGAATAAAATGTAAAGATTTGTAGAGAAGAGATGAACGAGATAGACAAAGTAAGACCGCATTTGTTTTCTTGTTGTAAAATATCATATGCAGAGTTCAAAGGTTTCTTTCCAGACCCAACAAATGCAAATCGCGAAAAAAAATAAGCGCGAATGCTTTCGATTTGGGCGGATAATTATTAGGTTGGTGCAAAAGTAATGCGCGTTTTTCTAGCCCTTGTTTTAGAACAACTTTTCTCCAACATTCTTCTTTGGAAAAAACTTAGCAAACTTTCAAGAAGCTGCTTTCATCCTCTATCCAAGGCGGCTTCTATCTTCATTAGTTAAAAAATAAGAGAGCTTCACACAACCGCACTCGAAACCAGAATTTCATTGCATTTACTTTTCTGGCCAGAAACCAAGGCCGAATAGCAAACTTCTGAAACTCTAGCTACTATATTCAATGGAAATTGTCTACATCATGCACATTTTACTATTCTCTCAAAAATTACCTAGACTGAGATTTCGGCGTTTCAACATGGGCAGTCGTTTTGATCATTCTGTGACCCATAAATTTCCTTTGAAGAGGGCAATCGCCAAAGCTTTGCTCATTTCTGTAAGCGTAAGGGTGGGCCTCCTACTGACAGTTTTTACAGAATCGTGTAGCTGTTCATTATGCAGAAGTTCAAGAAAATTCCATATTTTAGGATTTTTAGGCCTTCGAAAAAATGTCCAAAAAAAGACAATTTTGGATTTTAATTTTTTCCTTTTGGCAAAATCCTCTCTGTTTGGCCCTTTTCAATTTTTTCTGTACTAATGGATTCCTGCTACAGTATAGGCTACTTATTATCTATATTAACTCATTTTGAAGAAAGTGATGATCAGTTAAAGACGAAGTTTAAAAAAAATTCTTCTGCTTATCAGTCCATATTTTTCTGCCTGTCGATGATATGAGTATAGGGAGGTGTGCGCTGTATTGCGAAAGATTTGGTGCCTTCAATGTTTTTTACCGCAATGAAAAACGTAGTTTTTTTTTAGGAAGTTATAACACGTCAAAGTGGGAACTGGCAAAACGCGCATTACTTTTGCACCAACCTAATAGAAAAACCAGCTTATTAAACCAAAGGGAAAATTAAAATTAGATATTAATAAACATTTTAGCATCTAGCGATTAATACTAAAAGTAATAAAAAAAACTGATAATGAACGCAAGGAACTACTTTTGTCTGTTTCTCTCAATCAGCTTGTATCTTGATTGGTAACAAAAAATGTCCTAAGCAAGTTGGAAAAAATGAAATTTTCTCTATCTAATACGTATCAAAACAATCGATTCTGTTAAAGTTGGAAGATATCAAAAATTTTCCAATTTTTGGTGCACAGCCAGCACTAATCAGCCTAATATAATGAAGCATGGAAAGAAAAGTTTTGAAAATGTTATTGCTCTATCTCCAACATTGCATCGCTAAAATTGCACCAATTTCCGGTTTCAGATTTGAATGATAAACCACCGAAGAAGCCCTCAGCAGTAAACAATCTCAGTTACCCCAAGTATGACAAATTGCGAAACTAGCAAAAGGGAGTGGATCAACATGCGCAGCCAAGAGCTACCGTAGTCCTCGCACTTGCAGTGGGAAATATCCGAGATTTCCAAGTAGAACCATATTACACTTTCTTATCTTTTTTTTGGTAGAAGGTAGGGTTAGTTATCAATGGGCGCAGAAACGCTCACATCTTACCTGCCAATCGCTAAACTCGGAGCCGAACTTCTCTTTGAAAGAGTTGACCTCGCTCACAAACACAGTGGGGAAAAGTGCACGGGTGAATATGATTCCTATGGCATTCTTAAGTCTAGCAAAGATATTCATCTGATCGCCTGCCGCTGACATTCCTCCTAAAAAGTGATAAAGATCAGTGTTCTAATTTGTTAAGGCTCTATGTACACTACGATCAACGAATGGACCTGGAACATAGCTGGGAGTGACTGGTTCACCAATTGCTTCAGAGATGGGATCCATATGTACACTGGCCAGCGTAGCCAATGTAGTCTTGATTTTGGCTATTTTAAAAACGCCTAAAATGCCGCATTTACACATGATGAGGCACATTAGTACTCAGAAAACGAGTCGCAAATGAGCCTAAGTAATTTAGTTTGGATCCGTGAAGTTCGTTTAGGAAAGGGGAGGCGGGATTGAGAAATTTTTCGAGTAAAATGGCATGTTCTTAAAGTAACATCCCATCGAAAATCATTTGGGATTTTTTTCAAATTTTCTGCGAACCTATAACTTTACAGAATGAAGAAAGCGTAGTTTTTTTTACAAACTTATATTTGAACCAACTTATGACTTATACTCAATATTTCAGAAAATGCCACGAGTTCTTTTTTTAAATCATTTCAAAATTGGAATAATCTGAGAGAAATTCAACTACTCACAAGGCAAATCAACATATTGCACATTCGTACAGACATGTACCTCTGTCTCCCATTAACCTACATGGTTTAAAAAAAGTAATCGTGACTTGTTTTTGCCTGTAGAAATAGTTTCTCCTTTTTTATGCAAGTAAAAAGAAACTTCACTAACGTTATAACCGCCACTCCGCTAACCTCCCCCCCCCCTCACCCCTCGTGAAATTTATACGAAACGTGACGAACGTGAAAAGGTTGATTTGTGGGTGAAGATAATCACTTACCGAAACCACAAACTCCGAAGCCTTCCGCAATGCCAACGTCAAAGTGCTCTTCTTCAAGCTGCTTCATCAGCGCTTCATCTTGGAAAACTCCTGAAAATATAGACTGTGACAAATCTGAAATTAAATGCTCACTAATTCTTGATTGCCTACTTTCACATTGGCATGTAAACCACATTGTCATGTTCTTCTTCATCTGAAAACTCAATATTTATCTTTGTGAAAATCTGGTAGATGGGTAAGAACAAACTTCTAGAAGCCCAGATATGGTCGGCTGCAAAGTCCACATTCTGGAAATCTGTGCTGCCTGGTGTTTCATAATCGGAGCTATTCGCTCGTCTACCGGAACCTTGATGATGTTTGTCGTAAGTTTGACCCCAGTCTTATTCACCTGTTCCACATCCATGATTGGCATTAACATAGTCTAAACGCATTGGTGTTTGAACGAAACGATGAGCAAATTGACAAAGATTTTGTTTTTCTCTCAAAATCTCCTTTCTTACCACATTATGACCCGCTTCTGTCAGTGTGTCAGCTAATATACCCATAAAGTTGGTATGAGAATATCCAAAAATGGGAGAGTACACCAGAAATTTATAGCCATCGCTACTATATGTTAGCAGTGCAAGCAGCAATATATGGTACCCAGTCATGCCTGAAAGCGAATCAACATTATCAGTAAATCTTCCAAGTATCGCGTTATTTCCGTTAACTCAGCATCTAAATTTGAAAAAATCCATCATCAACTCCTTATCATGCATTAAATTTCTGAGCGCAAATCCTTGCTAACAATGTAAGAGCATACTTCCCAACTATCGTTTTCTACAAATTCTATGTGATATTGCATATAAACTTTTTCAGATTTAACTTTCCTCGATGAAAGTACAACGAAGCCAGCGAAGGTGATATTCACAAACACGATAAAACAAAACACGACTTCTAATATGTGTACAGCATTTCTGAAGCAAAGAACCTTGGTTTGCGCATGCAATACTACACAGCATAAATTCTTGAAAGACCCCTTTGACAGAAAATTCCTAAGATTTTAAGGAGACTTCGAATCATTCCTGTCATTTTCAGAGCAAGAGCAGCACATGCTTAATTTTGAAACGAAATTGTAAGTCTATTGAAAATTAGTACACAGTGTATATAGAGGCTACATTATCTTATTAACCAGGTAATCTAAACGCATAACAAAATCCTTGGCATAAATAAGCCAAGAATTCTTCATGTAGATGGAGCTTTAAGTGCGCATTTCGCTTCCAAACTTCATACTTTTGCGGAAAATTTCATAGCATCTCCTGCAAAAGATGTGGTGAGAGAAGGAGAGACGATCTGGTATGTACAAAGGTGGTTCACAATGGTCTAGAATGTGAATGACAAGTTATCAAATGGCCATGCATCTCTTAACCAGTTCGTTTGTTCGTGTAAGCTTACAATGCAGCGCTTACGCAATCTCACCAGTCCTAGTGGTTATAATGCAGTTATGAACTTCTTGCCTAATTATGCCTTGTGCCATAGTATCAAGAATCTATAAAACAAATTCCATAATTTGCGCAGGGGGAAACCGTAGACATTCTCCCAGTTAGAATTTTAGCTGTTATCTATCTCAAACGCTCACTTCCTGGCATATCAGAGAAAACAGACAGATGATTTTTTGTAAGTTGGGCATGAAGAGTGTAGTTTTTGCGTAAATTTTTTATAATACACTCACAAAAGGCATCACGTCGCTCACTACAAAAATCACAGATCTCTCTCTCTTCAGTCATTTGTTGGTTGATCTTACAATTGATTTGAGTATTAATCATTATAATTTACAATGATCAGGAAAGAAGAGTCAAAGAGTTTGTATCAGCGATGCTGATCGTATGTAGCAGTGGCGGTCCCAGGATTTCCGTCCGGAGGGGGAGGAGGAGGGGGGGGGGGGCGACAAGAATTTTTTCAAATGAAGGTGCTTGGCGTTAGCCACGCAATCCGAAAAAATTTTCGGGATACTTCTCAAAATTTTCTGGTTCACAATCCCTAAAATCTAGAAAAGGGAAGAGTGGCCGCAGCCATGCCCCCGAAAAAAATTTTTTACAAGGCTAAATTGAACTTTTGAGCATGTTTAAAAATTATTTTATTTATTTACAAGAATGAACAAGTCACACATTTTTATAGCCCATGTAGTAAATTTCAAAAATTTCATCTCATTCTCGTTTTCGCCCCATTTTTCTTTCCCATTTTCGCCCCCCCCCCCCTCCTCTCCCTCTATCCGCCACAGGTATGTAGTGCTGATGACAAGGTTTGTAGACAGATGGGTACTCATTAAAAAGTTTGAATGTTCATATATGAGGATCGAAAATTAGAACAATGTAGGCATTTATCTCTTTTTGCAACTTTTGCAAATAACCAATCGTCTGATGACCACTCAGTGGTCATCGAAAGAGAAAAGTGAATACTGAGTAAATGAGAAAGAAGCAAGGGTTCTATGAAAATCTTAATATAAATGATTTGTAAATCGCCCTAAAGCGGATCAAATTATTATGGACCAGCAGCAGGTTATCAAAATGGTTCTCGTGGAAATTCAAGACTTTTCGGTTATAGCGGAAAAGGCCAAAGTGATGCAGATGTGCTGGTATCTTATCTCATACATCAGTAACTAAATTCTTATCGGTTGTGATCAGTGCTCGCCGGGATCTTGAGCATATGATGAAAGCTTGGTCTGCATTGCTTATCGTTAGAATCACAAGTGGTGATATGATAGGATAATCAAAGCCGATTTTGCAAAAACGCCGAAGTTTTCAAACAAGAAAATGTTGAATTCCCAAACTAAACAGGGTCCTTCATGCTACGCATAGATAAAAAGGTCGCGTAGTCACGTTAAGACTGTCAGAAATTCTTTTTGACCTCAAAGTGCCAATTAAAGTGCTCTGCTGCTTATCAACTCGGTGGTAGCCAGCGAGGACAATTACAAATCACAAAGATTTTTCTTGCTCTAGGTGGACCTGCTCTCTCAATAAGAAAATGCAGTTTTCTTCAATGTTCGAAATTGCAACGCTCACTTATAATCACAATAAGTCCTTGCGCGTCAAAAACTGTGTGAAAAACTCTATATGTCGCCCTCATGTTACTAATTTATTTTATCAAGTATAAGCTTCAAACAGGATGCCAAATCGTAGCGCTTGTTACGTGCATGAGATAAATGAACATAAAAATAATGCCGCTTTCTCGATGCTATGATCGTAGTAAGGTTTTTTCGTTCTTGATTTGATAATTTTCAGAATTTTCTAAATTGTTTTCGATGAGCATTACTTTTTGATCATACATAGAGCTCCTATGGAAGCTCCTGTGGTATTCACAAACTTCAAAACAAAAAAGGCAGAACACTGAAAAACCCAGTTATCATTCATGTGGATAGAGTTCGCAATTCACGTGCTTTCAATATAAAAAGTTAATGGTTTCTGCGCTATCGTCTGGAAAATATGTGACGGGCATTTTAGGTTGTCTACGGTTTATCATTTGAGCAAATTTGCTCGCATACACAGCACAAAATGCTGTACATAGCTTTTGCACTAACATCTTCTATTTCAATCTGCCCTCTCCCCAGAAATTGGTCGGGCAAGTTTTGTCAATGCATTTGTTTCCTCCATACAGTTGCTTGAGTGAAATAATCAAAAAGCACTTTTGCTGCAAGCAGGGGGCATGAGTCTGACTCCACTGAGCATCTGCGAAATCCACGCATCTGCGCTAATATATTCGTACGTGGTCTGAATAAGCTTTACCCCTTTCTATTCTTGACACCCTATCTGAGAGCTGGACTTGAGCTGTTGACGGACGTTTTATTGTTTTTTTGTCATTGTTTATTTCGTTTTTTTTTGTTCCAAATATGTTCCTTGTGCGTATTAAGTAAGTAACTAAATAAATCCAGAATAATTATTCTAAAGAAGCTTCTCTCAATCTTGAGATCTCCGTTAACCTTCGTAGGAATCATTAACGCACCGTTAAGCCTATTTTAAAATACTTACAAGGAGAGGATACTTAGTCGAAAGCACCAATCCAGATGATGCATATATTATTTGGACGCGCTCGGAGCGCTGATTTCAAATCTGGCAAAATCAGCTGCGGAGCGCCTTTGGGCAACGAGTTATGGTTGTTTTTGTGAAGAAAATTTGAAGTCGAGGGAAGAAAAAAAATTATACGCAGAAGTCTCCAGTTGGGCTCGAATGGGGAGTGATGTCTGTCAGATTACTCTGCGCAAAGAGAAATGTCTGTCTGCTATACACACATTTAAAATGAGTCTGTTTGCAAAATATACATGTTGTAACAATCACTTTTACTCTCTTTACCCATTGAATTTTTTGGCTTTTGAAACGGTCATAGCTCCTTACCTAAAGGCGCTCCGCAGCTGATTTTGCCAGATTTGAAATCAGCGCTCCGAGCAGGTCACAATGATATATGTCTCATCTAGATCGGTGCTTTCGACTAAGTATCCTTTCCTTGTTAGATACTTAGATGGCCCGGCTTCACGTGACGTGCGGGCCCCAGCTCAAAAGTTTCCATTTCTCCCTGTCCCTCGCTTCAGACATCCACAATCTTCTTGGCTGACGTCGGTGGCTGCGTCCACGAGTTCCAGGTGCAAAAATCGTATCCAGCTGATTTCTCAACTGGTCCATCCGTTCCACGAACACGTCTGCCCATCTCGTTGGAGGTCTTCCTCGAGGACGTTTTGCTTCGCGAGGAATCCACTCAGATGTTCTTAGCCATCTGTCGTCTGTTCTTCTCATAATGTGACCGGTTCATCGATGCTTCGCTTTCGCAACGTAATTCGCTGGGTCACGAAGACGGGACATTCTCCTCATATCCGTACTGCGAAGTCCGACGAGATGTTGTTTGTGTCGGGTCATCTTCAGAAGACTACGCTCTAGCGCCTATTTTAAAATAGCACTGCGATATCAGTAACACAATGTTTGCTCTTTTTTCCACGCTATAGTCTCAGGCGATAGCGATCGGTCCTCAGCTACAGCGGCTACAATTCATTGGCAAATCAAAATTCATTTATATCTTGGTTATCCATGGCCACACAACCACCAATCGTGAGAGCATCAAATATCACGTCTTTTCCCTTACAACGAGTTAACTTGTCTCATTAGATTCTATAATGTTCTACTGTCAAGAAAATTCATGTAATCCACAGCCTTGTCCTTTCTTGGCACTGCTTTCGTTTTTATGCTCTTCTCGCTTTCTCGCCTAAGCTTCTTGTTCAGACAACTCTTATCGTTCGAACAAGAAACTAAGGCGCAGAGAGATAAGGACTGGAACTTTGATTCACCAAAAGCACACGTTCTTTGCGATAGATCTTGTTTGGTGATTCCTCGAAAATCTGTGTTCCTTGAATCTTACAAGGGAAGCATGTTTGGTCGAAGTGGCACTTTTAGTTGGGATATATACGATGACTAGCTGGCTTACCCGGCTCCGCTGTATGTTCCGAATAGAAAATTCCATTTCTTAACCGATCCGGACCAAACTTGGCACACATACACTTCGGGCCCCGGCGGGTGTCACAGTCCACTTTTCGTTATCGATCGATGTCGATTTTATCGATTTTTTGCAAAATTTGAGCTAAGGGGCTGGAATTTGGCAGAGGGGTGTAATCGAGCATGCTGATCACCCCCACG